CACACTTTTGAAAGAGCCACCCAGATACCACGTGAAGAATTGCTGCAGTACAAAATGAAAATTCCCATGAATTGCCATTAGTTATGACATACCATCCCTCCCCAGAACCTATATGGAAAATCCTCAAACAACTGCAACCCATACTAGAAGAAGACCCAATTCTTACAGAGGTCTTCCCAGAACCCCCCATTCTAGCCTTTAAACAAGCACCGAACCTTGCCAACCTCATCACCAGAAGCAAATTTCCTACGGCCCAAAACACACGGAACAGATCCAGACCATGCCATGACAAGAAATGTAAAACTGGCCAATGTACCTCCCCACCCCCACAATTACTACACCCCACAACAGAACCATCAGCATCCCTGCATCTTACAGCTGCACCTCCAGAAATGTAATATATCTCACCCAGTACACTGAATGCCCTGATGGAACATATGTAGGAAAAACCAAATAACAATTGCATACCAGAATGAATGCATACCAAAAAATCAATCAAAGACAAAAATACCCAATTACCTGTGGGTGCACATTTCTCACAAGATAATCACTCTCTCCAGACTCTCAGTTTTAATCCTCAAAGGGAATTTACAAAACACCTTTCACAGACAAGCCTACGAATTTCACTTCATCAATCTACTGGAAACAAAAAACCAAGGACTAAACCTAGACATTGGATTCATGGCACATTTTAACCTGCCTACCATCTGATAACCCCAGGTAACCTCTCTACATTTTACCAGGTACATTTAATCACCAGGTCACCATTTCCCCTCCCCACTCCACCTCACCTACCTGTCTCACCCTCATTGTCTATCCTCACCGCCACACATTTGCATTTTCACAGACCTCCATTTTTGCATAATGGCTTCTATCCCATCCAGGAGAGTGCAATACAACTGCAAAACCCTCTGCCTGAAGAAGGGTGTTTGTACCTGACAGCTTGCAAAGAACAATTTTTCCAGCTATTTAGTTGGTCTAATAAAATATATCACATTTACCCAAAGTACCTTGTCTGCCTTGAAAAACACAGCACTTTCCAGTTCTATCTGCTTTAATGGGAATGAGAAGATTCCACAGTTAGCAGGAATCAAAGAATTTTCTTTACATTTTTCTCTCTGTTTATTTATCATTCAAGACGCACATAAAAACAAGTACTGTTTCATCTGATTAGCATGAAGCAGAGGGTTGTCTGAAAGGGGGAAGGTACTTATTGCAGTGAAAACATGAAGGTTTTAAAATGGTTTGTTTCTCTTAATCTCATAATTAGAGTATGCACAGAAGCCTCTACATGCTTGGAATTTAGCAACCAATTAAACTGTGCCCACTCATCCTGCTCCCAAAGGATGCTACAGCCCATTCACATTTTACATTCGCAGGGCTTGAACCTGCAAACACAACTGTGTTTAAATTTTAGCTATGTGAATTGTTGCATGAATTCCAAAGTTTCAAGCCAGGCATGTGAATGTCTGCAGGGTCAGGGCTGTGTGGTGAAGATGATAGCTAAATATAAAACAGGGGTGAATTTCTCTTTAAAGCTCAGAAATAAGTACTATGCTTTTCACCTCAAATTAGTTAATGGTCATGTATGTTGAATGTTTGTAGATTACTTCTCTTTTTCAGGGGAAGAAAACAAATAGGAACAGCCTAGGGGAAGCTTTTTTTCTAGCATAGCCTCACCAGTTAGGCAGTAAATATTTGATTCGTGAGTCACTTTCACCACCCATCCTCCACCAAACCTACAGGAAAGTTAACAGGCCACTTCTATTCCAGGTTAACCCCATTGCAGCCAATTGGGTTGTACATCTATAATAATTTGGCCTGATTTATACTGCATTTCAGGTTTTTTTCAGCCTTTGTTTACAGAGCAAGGGATTTTGCACTAGTATTCCCCCACATCCCAATTCTGCACGTTGTCTTCTAACTTCCAACATCAAAACGCAGGCGTGAAGTGTGACTGTTCTGATAGCAGTGTTCCCAAAACCTCTGGACAGAGGTGGGCCTAACTGCATTAACTACAGTGCAGAGTCAAGCTGATGAGCCTGGACTATGACCTGTCATCCATATCGCACTCCTGTAGCTAATGATTTTTCACTGACACTTACTGACCCAATACATGTAAGCAAGCACAGTCTCATATATAAAATAGCAGCAGCTTTCATTTATATATGCATAGCTATACTGGCACATCTTACTCTTCCCTTTGAAATATTTTGTTTACTTAGTGGATTTATATCCCTGTAGGAAAGCAGGTATCGAGCTATAAACCTATGACACACTCTTCTTCAAAGTCAGACATGTCTTGCTATGTTGCCTTTGGGGTACGTTATCAACGCAGTAATTGTCAACTGGTTGTAAAATGTGCATAAAAGATATAGCCTTGCATACTTTAAGTCCCACATTTGAGTAAATGGTGCAGTGGGCCAAATTTTGCTTTCAGTTGCATCATTATAAGTGTAGAATAACACCACAGACTTGATATTTATGATAATGCAACTGAGAGGAATGCTTGGACTTCTAGGGCAAAGAAATCATCCTGGGCAAAACTTTTGGTTTAAATGGGACCAGTTTAGCCTTCAGTCTAGATGCTTCTGCAAAGAATGGGGAATGAGAGAATACTTTAAAATCCAAACCTATTAATTCTTCTTTACTGAGACTCCCTGCTAGTTCTAGTTGTCATGGAGGTCTTTTTCCTGACCAGAAATATTACCCTTTTCAGCTAAGTCACTCTAAATAGCCATCAAGATGACAAAATGAGACCTAGAGTGATTTCCCATAGGTGTGAGAAGGCAGTTTTCTCTCCACACTATACAAATCTTCAGCCCCTGTGCTGAAAGCACCAAAGCTAGATCAGAATCCATTCAGGCAGGCAGACATTGTGATAGTGAACCATCAACTAAATGGGTGAAGTTGACACCTGGCTTCACACAGACCACAGGGCTGCGTTAGGACTAGTGACCTAGAATTGTAAGGCCTCTATCTCAATTCCCTAAACAATCTACTGTATTGTACTGTATTTGTAACTCTTCTCTGCGATGTAGCAGAAATGGTTCCCTGCTCCGTAACCTTGGAAAAATCACTTCAGCTTTGTCACATTTATGTTTTCTCATTTGGAAAATGGGCATAATATAACTTTAGGTTTTTGAGATGAAAAGTACGAGCTGACATGGCTTCCATATTTCTGTCATTGTTCACCGAAACACATGCACACGTACACAAACACACTTCTTCAAAAACTGATTTTGGGATCAAGGGAACATCCCACCAACTCAACCGACTTCCAGCCAGTTTCATCCAGAGATGCAAGCGTCAGTAGTAACTTAAATAGGCAGTTATTTTACAGTTCCTGCCACTAAAAGGTTTGTTGGCTGATGTATGCTCGGTGATAACGAATACTGAAGTCCTTTCTCCTCCTGTCCACCTCTTCTCTTTTGAATCCCTAAGTGCTTTTCCACAGAGGAGAGACAGGCTTTTAGTTCATTTCTTTTAACACAAAGCACAAGGACAAAAAGAGAAAAGGCTGCCATGTTTTGATAACCAAATTATCTGAGAGTGTTAAAGCATTAATCACAACAATAGGAACAAAAAGGCAAGCTCTTGCTGCGATAAATTTCTTCTTGATTTATATATAAAAGAAAATCCTGACCTGACTATGGAGATGTGGAGTTTTAATCAACGTTAAGGAAGCAGAACTCCTGTTTGTGCGCTACTAGAAACAGAAGGCATCATTTAACATCTGTCAATTAGTGTCACGCACCACTGCCAACATATCTGTCAAGATTAAACAGTGTCTAATGCTGACATAACATTTACACTTGTTTGTGCCAAATCATTTATTTAAAGCTACAAAAAGGCCTGTCTTTGGATAATGTAACTGTTGACTAACATTTGCATGCAATAAGCCACCTATCTGGCAAGTGTACCAAAGAAAAGGGAGCCAAGAAAAAATCTTCAGCTTGACCTAGGCAATATTTGCAAACCAGAGGGATGGGAACAAATTGTCTCCATTGGGCTAACGCTACTCTGAAAGGGATGAGAAAGAGAGACACATCTGAACTGCCATAATGGTTTCGAGTAGTCTTCCACCTATGCCACAATCCTGCTCACAGTAGAACTGGTAACAGCTGCTTCAAAGGAGTCCAGGAAACCCTGCAACAGGCAGTTATGGGATAACCTCTCTAAGGAAATTTTCCTCCTGTCTCTCGATTACTGTAGATTTATTTACAAACCCTAAAACATGAGTTTAGGTTTCCTTCAAACCCTTGGGAATTTTTTAATATTTACTTTTGCTGTGGAGGTTCTTGCCCTCCATAGAAAGGTCTAGCCTTTCTGAATCCTGCTAACCTCTTGGCATCAATCCTCTCGGTGGCAATGAGTTTCAAAGCTTGTTTGTGCTACTGCAGGCCCTGTACCAGAGAGAGAGGCTGCTACAGTTGTCACACAATCTACCTGCACACTCACGACTGAAAAAGGTGGGCCATTGAGCCCAGTCATGCCATCTGTGATCTTACAAACCACCCTAGTGAAGTGAAATTTGCTGGCAGATGACTTGTTACAAATTTCATCACGATGGATTCAATTCTGGGCCCACTGAAGTTGACAAGATGTTCTTCCCAATGGTTTTAATGCAGCTAGGATGCAGTGTGTTAACACTGCAGTGGTCTTCAAGAGGAGGCTGGACAGATATTTGGCTCAGGTGTTATGACCCCAGGACTCTTTCCTGCCTGGGGCAGGGAGTCGGACCTGATGATTTGTTTAGGTCCCTTCCGACCCTAAGCACTATGAAACTACAATTGCCAAATGTAGTGGGATAAATGGGCAGGGGAGGGATTTGCATTCATACACTTGTTAGCTGATTTTGAGAGACGTTGAGCACCCGCAGCTCTATTTGAGGCCAATAGGAGTTGTGAACAATCAGTGCTTCTCAAAAGTCAGCTGTTAGCACAAACTGAGCACCAGGAACTTTTCTTTCTTTTAGCAAAAAAATCAGGATGGAAATGGTCTGCATTCACCCCATGGTGACCTGGATAAAAAGCATGCAATAAGAATTCAATGAAAAATAGCCACAAAGGCATTTCCAAACACATCTGCCTGGGGTAATTTATAGCAACTCACTCTAGGAAAAGCAAGTTTAGAGATAAGATAAGAATTTTTACAGAAAACAAAAAATGAAATGTGTACTGATTCATTTTCTATTGACAATCTCCAGCTGGAGATGAAAAATCAAGAGTAAAAAAAAAAGCTTTCCTATGAATCATAGAGAAGTAGGGCTGGAAGGGACCTCCAGAGATCACTTAGTTCAACCCTTAGCCTGAGGCAGGGTCATTCCTATGCAAACCATCCTATACAAACCATAGTCTTAAGTCTACATAAGACTACCGTCAGCTCTCCAGTTCTCCATGTTCTCAGTGTCATGTTCATGCAGTTCAAATTGGTGGTCCCCAGAAGGTTAGTAAAGCAAATCTGGGCCAGCTGCTTCATTGCTGAGTTTAGAGCTAGTAGAAGGGTAGGAAGGCCAAAGTTGTCTTTAAGCAGCACAAGGGTGATTAGTCACAGCCTGTTCGGGTGCCTTCAGAATAAATTAGCCATTTGTCTACTTTGGGCACTTATATGATGACTGCTACTGCAATCTAATGTCTTTAACAGGCTAACCTTAAAAACACCACGAGGGAGGAACATCCTATCACCTCTAGAACAGCAAAACTGCGTGTGCACACACACACGCGTGCACGCACGCACGCGCGCACACACACACACACGTGTGCGCTACCCAGACAATAAAGCGAGATCAACAAAAACAGAAAGTTACAAGCCCCAAACAATGCAATCTGCACAATCCAGCAGTTGTGGAATGGAACCAGGAGCTACAATATACAAAATTACTCCAAGCAAAGAAAAAAGAAAAAATGTGCTCCAATTCTAAGTAACTTATTTTGATTACAGCTAGTGTTCTGATGAGACAATAAGCATGGCTAACAGCTTGTGAAGTTCAGGCTCTTACAAAGCCGCAGTGTTCTCCACTTTATGGAAAGAAGCAACCTAATAACAAAAATGTATGATAAGCATGCTAGGCAATGGAGTCTGAGGTTACTGGTGTTACAGCTGTCTTGGTCTTTTCTAATGCAGACTATATTGCAGACCTGCGAGCTAGATTTGCAAAAAAAGTCTTTTGCACCCTGAATAATAGCCAGATTTTCTCAAGTGCTCAGCACAAACAGGAGCCAGATTTTCAGAAGAGCTCTATATCCACCATGCTGAACTCTTTTGTCAATCTGGCCTCATCTGTGGGTGCATTGTAACCAAAACTGTAGACTTATATATAGTGCTTTGAAAAATCTGCTCCTATGAAGATATAAGATTGTGTGCAAGCACCTCAGGGAGGCATGTTTGTAGATGGGTTAGTAGATGGGTTTGGAGATGGGTTATTTCCAAAGTCATGGCTACCTGATTGCTGGATCCAAAGTGAAAGGAGCTGAATTTGCAGTGGTGATTAATCAAACCAGACACAACACATTTCTTAGGAAATTGCTCCTCATGCATTTTAAGACTCAGGAGGTCTGGCTTGCAATGCTTGGCAACAGTTTACAGACACTAGACTTTATTTGGAAATGCCAATCTAACTAATTTTAAAACCCCAAAAAAAAAAAAAGAGTAATTTCCCACTCTTATTTTAGTCAACTGCATCTAGAGATGAGATGGAGACTCCTTGTACTAGGTACTGTTCAAATACATCCCCATAGTAAGAGAGAGTCCCTGCTCAGAAGAGTGTGCATGTTTCAGAGAAGTTAAGTGACTTGCTAATGGTCACACAGGAAGCCTGTGGCAGTGCTAGCATCTAAAAGGCAGACTCTTGAGTCCCAGACCACTGTTTAGCCTCAAGATTGTCCTCCTTAACATAGTTTGCATGTACTTTGACAATATGTTTAATATCCTGCTGTACCCAGCTGCATCCCGCTGTGCAGAAGTACAAGGTAACACAATTTCCTTCTCATTTTTCTCCTCTGGTCTCTTCTCCAAAAATACTGCTGACTTCAGAAAGTAGGACTTGGGAAGATTGTAGAAACACTTAGCAGAAAGGCAAGATATGCCTCAGTGCTTTCCCACTACCGAGTTCTCCCTCTACCACAACAGAAACAGGCCATGAAGGGGTGCGTGTGAGCTTCATATACTAAGTTTAGGTGGGGGCAACAAGGGCTTTTTGGTACTTCCCTTAGGGAAAAATTAAGGCTGATGAACTTGCTGGGTAGGGGCACTGACTGGCCTAGCTATAGCTAAATAATTATTCCTCTCTAACTATATTAGCTAATTTCCCCATAGAGGCATTTCATAGACATTAGGGCTGGAGGATCTCAGTGCTTCAAAAGGAAGCCCCCAAGGGCTGCCTGTAGTCATCACTAGAGGAAGGGCCCTTCACAGCCACTGTGGAGTTAACATGATGTTGTCATTAGTTCTTTCCCCAGCCAAGGGTAAGGGTTAGATTGCAGGCTAGGCCAGGGTTTACCACATTGCATCTTGGTATTTTCTACATCTTATTGACCTTGGGAAGCAGAACACAAATTACAGCTGCCTTGAGGCTGTCTTAGGTTACACTAGGAACAAGACACGCGGCTCTGTTATAGCTCCAGCGCTTGGGAAGCAGACAGTGGTCTAGAAAGAAAGGGGTGAAATTGGTAATCAGACTCAGAGATGTAATCAAGGTCACACAGATCTGGAGACTGAACCCAGGAGTCCCTGATTCCCAGCTCCTCATATGTAGTCATTATGTAAGGTGACCACACTTCAGAATGAGGAACTCTTAATTCTAGCAAGTGCTGTACTTTACTGCACCAAACAATGCTTAGATTTCTCCCCCCTCAAGTGATTTTTTTTTCTAGCTGGATTTGAAACAAACAGAATGTGAAATTACCAGGCTCTTTTGCCAGCAAGATAATATTAATCCTTTTTAGAGACTTAGAATGCTGAAGCTGCCGGGATCCAGGCCAATATGTATCTTATTTGTTTTCTCCTAGGTGTTGCCACGTACGAGGAGTGGGGAATGTGGAATCCTCATTTCAAAGATGAATTTCCATGTTGAAATAGAGTTTCTGGCACATACTAGTCACCTGTTTCTCAGTTCAAATGTTCACGCTATTCACAGCCACTAGGTATAGGCAATGGATTAAGGCTTATAAATCTTTGCCATCCAGAGTGGCTGAGAAGTAACACCCAGTACCATTCAGGCAAAGGTATTGCTTATTATTTTAAACTTTACAGGCTCTCTGCTCCTTTGGGAGGCGGAGAATCACTGCCATTTCACAGGTGGAAACTGAGGCCCAGAGAAGTAAACCAACTCACCACAGTTCATACACTGCATCAAAGTCAGGAATCAACCCCAGGATTCATGAAGTCCCATTTCCCTGCTCTAACCTAGAGCTCCCTACTTACTGCTCCCTTTGAATTCTACATAAATACTTCCTAGGCCCCCTTTCCACCTGTTATCCCATAACATTTGTGGTTCATTATCATTTGTCTTCAATAATTAATTATCAGGATGGGTCCTTGAGTTAATGACTGTAGAGGCCTTGAAAACATAAAAATGTTCAACATTATTCTCCGCTTCCCATGGATCTCAAAGGAAGCAAGTTTGAGTCTTCAATACATTGCCTTGTCTCTGAACATGCTTAAACATCACCCTGTTTTTGTAGGCAAGCTAACAGGCAAGCTGAGTTGTTTGATTGAAGAAATTCAGTTAAACTAGAAACACTTTGTCTGCTCAATTTTCTCCCTGCTGCTTCAAAGCAAGCAGAATGAAGTCCTTCATTTGCAACTCTAGTCATTTCTGGGAAGATCTCCAAGAAACAGCATATCAGGATCTTCACATTGCCCTCTCCTCCGTGGCTTCAGTGGGAAATAACCAAACTGTAGGCCTGAATTAGTTAACAAGCTACAGACCAATCTTATTTCCTTTTGGAGCACCTTACCTTGGAGATGGTCCCCTGCCAGAAGGGAGAGGCTTAGGTTCTCAGAGCTGATGGTCTTTATTCTTCAGTTCTGCAGTGCACACAGAAACCTGCTCTGACCATACATACGTGAAGGGCCAGAGAACAAGCCATTCTGGCAGATGACAGGGAATGAATGATTAGTCAGCTGCAGTCCAAATGATGGCTGAGTTACAGGGAGCTAGAGGACTTGCTAGGTATGACAAGGTTTTGCTCTGAAGGCTTCTCAGCTCCTGGGCCAAACTATCCTACCTGTTACATCAGCAAAACCCAGGTGAGAAAGCAGAGGGGAGAGGAGTTACCTGACACCAATAGGAGACATGGAAGAGAAGGGATACAAGGCAAACTCTATGAAAAAAACAGAGATAGTTCATGGGGGAATTGGGGAATTGTGATGATTGTGGCTGGAACTGAAATAATCTTGTGAATGTTGTTAGAGGCAGAACATAGCACAGCCCTTCTGAAACTTGGACCTAACTCACTCAATTAGTTAATTCCTGTACAACAGTATTTTGATGTCATGAGCCATTACACACATGCTGAAGGCATTAACATGGTTAGAAGTAGAGCTCAAGGCAAATTGGAGAATTTTCAGGCTGGCTTTGAGGCATCTTATCTACATCTGCACAGACTTGACACAAGGCAGCTCCAATACCTTTGTTGTGGGAATACCAGTTAGCAGACTAAGAGACAAATTAAAGACAGCACCAAGCGGGGGAGTTCATTCCAGGTGAAGATTTTCCAATCCCCCCACCTTTCTCAGACAGGCATATTTCTGTATTCTGTCAGACACCAGAGCTGGCATAAACAAACTTCTTGGACAGAATCGGTCAATGGCCAAAGTAGCACGACTGGTCTTCATTTAAATTTAAAGAAACAAGCTGGTAGGATGGCATGGAGAGGCAGGGCAGGAAGAGACAAGGCAGAAACTAGTCCTTTGCTGCTTACCAGTACACAATGAAAGCAGCATGGCCTAGAAAGTAGGAGACTGGACTGGAAATCAGTACTCCTGACTCTGCTACTTGCTTTCTGTGAGACCTTGGAC